TTTGGTTTGCAATCTATTGATTTCGCATAGCCGCTTAAATTAGGAAAAAGACTATTGGGCTTCGTTGAACAAGATAATTACACAGCCGCTTAGGTAGCTGCGTCAGATCTGCTACCTAAAAGTCTGAGAGGTGCCGCTTGGGCTCATGCTGTCAGCGCGTAGTTGATTGGTTAATCCGTTTTCACAACGACAAATGAGAAAGCACGATGAAGAAGACCGGGCGAGCCTCGTCCATTATTTGGTGAAGTTTTTTGGTGCCCTCTGCTCACCTGCGCGTTGGCGAAATTAACACAGGCGGGTCCCAGGTGGGCTGGGCAAGGCAAAGTTTTGGAGCCAATCCAAACGAGTACCAAATCAGCGGGCGAGCCAATAATTTGGTATGGCTAGCGTTGGCTGAAAACCAAACAGACCCTAAATCTCATATTCTAAGCACCGATGAGACCAATATGATTGACTAAAAGCATCATACCACGACCGAACAACATTTACATGTGCATGTTTTTGTTTTTGCACGGATTTGCATGTGTATGTTGAAAAATATATAATCATACAAAAACAAAAGAAGAGGAGTAAATATGTGCAATATATATTTTCGCATGTTATTGTGATAGTACTACTGTTCATATACAGAATAAGAAATTCTCCTTCAACCCCGGGACTCTCCCTCTCTCTGAATCAATGAATGGACAGCTCCAAGACAAGACGTGCAGGATAAGACATGCACTAGCCAACAACTAGAAAGCAAAAAATACTAGCTAGCCTAGGAGAGCACTGTGTGCTCACGTGATGGTCAAACACTCTAGTAATACCACTGCTAACCTCTGCTCCAGCACGCATCTCGTAAAACAGGAACGGTTGAGATAATGGTACCGTGGAGCTCGTGCTACATTGCAACTTTCTGATATATTACTCCCTCCCTTTTAAAATAGATGACTCAACTTTATACTAACTTTAGTATAAAATTAGTATAAAATTGGGTCATCTATTTTGGAACGGAGGGAGTATTTATGAGGTGTAAATAAGGCCGTTCAACTTGACTGACACCATGACATCAAGGAGAGTAGAATCCCACGATCAATCTAGCTCACATTGAAAGCATCAAGGCAATCTAGCTCAGATTGAAAGCATCAAGGTGAGGTTTAGAGGGATGGCCAGGCAGTGCACACGTGTAGTGTCACGGTTGGATGGTGATTCGACAGTCCAAAAATTTGACCGACCCAAAAATATATTCTGGCACCTGACTAATAGTGGCTCTCTTGGTTGTGTGATCTATCGAGAACTGGGTTTGCCTATGTTTTACTATCCCCTGAAGCTGAAGGTCTGCATGGTGGCTTGGTGCTTAAGATTTTCTTGTGTAATATGCAATGCTTTGGAAGACGTTTATTTCATGGTCCTGTCGCTCGCATAGTCGCATTGTATGGTGTGTGGTCAGAGCTGAGCACATTCACCCCGGAAGAGAGATGAGTTTTGGGGATCTTGTAAGCTGGGTCTCTGAGTATTTTCCACTGAATTATGCCAAATGTTATTTTCTTTTCTCAGTCAGGCACACTCAACATTACAGTTTTCAGAAATTATGCTTTATCATGCATACACGAAACACAATCCTACAAATAAATACGTGCACTTTGTTGAAGTGGTAATTACATGTATGAACAACAAACAAAAGTAGGGAAGAGTCGGTATTACTACTGATCGACACTGCAGAAACCTGCATCATCTTTCCAATTTGTGGCCATGCTGATCCCGTGGGTCGATCTGGGCTGGGGTGATGCATGGGCGGTGGGAGGAGGAGCCAAGGAGGACCGTAGATAGGCATTTATGAAAGAGCAAGGTGGGGCTTCACAAGGTAACAAACTCCATATGTAACTTTGTACACTAACAAAGAGGGAGGATAACAGAATTGGAGGAGGAGGAGGAAGATAGAGAACGTGTGCGGCCTCAGCGCCAAATGTGGCCAGAGCCCAGAGCAGAGGAGATGACGCCGGGGCAGGAGCTAGTGGACGAGGCACTGAACTGCTATCCTGTCTTGAATCATCAGGATTTGTAGCTCGTCGACTGGGAGGGGGAGCAGGCCTGCCATATAAAACACACGAAACCAATTAGTACTGCCGAAAACCTGAATCGTAAATCATGCCACACCCACAGTTTGAAATGTAACTTATTTTAACCACCACTTGATGTCATCAGTTACCTCTGAAATGGTCGATTATGCACAACTGCGAAGATCTCCATCAAGACACCATGACAGAGGCTCACTGCCACGTGGTTGCTTCTAAATACCAACCAACGGTAAAAATTCACTGTTGGATGTGAATTGTTCTGCAGAAACAGGGTAACGGATCTAAGACTTGGAAAATGATGAACATAATGGATTTCATCATCATGGATATAGTTGCTCGGTCATTACTTTCAGTCGTTGGTCACCAGGTGAACCTGCTACATTGGAACTGATACTCTGAAGGTTGACAGTGAAACATCACCATATATCAAGACCGCACAGGATGAGGATGTAGTCGGCTGTTCGGGGTAGCATGAACTGTGTGAGCCAATAATCAACCTGTTACAATGTTGCGCGAAACGTGTTTTAATTAGCATTGGAACATATTCCGACAAAAAGGCTAAGCAAACATTCTCGCTTTAAACCAACAAAGTGGTGCAAAAAAGGCGTGTTGCGTGCACCGTATGTGTACAGCAAGTAAAACGTACCAGAAGATGAGATGCTCTCCACCTAAATTGTTAGCATTGTGAAACTGAAACACAGGATGTGCAGTCACTGGGAAGCCAACGCACGCATTAGTGAATAGCCTGGAACAAATCAGTGCTTTAGTAGGGTTCTATTATTTTTTCTCCCTCTCTTAAAGAAGGGAAATAACTGGCCAACTGACCTTTTCTGATAGATGGTCTATGCAAAACTGTGCGGCTAATTCGGGACAGCGTTCTGAATTCCAACGGCAAAACTGACGGTTGGCTGTCATGGTTCTGCAGAATCCAAGTAATGAATGTAAGACTCCCAAAATTACCAAGGTAAGTTTACTCATTGATCTAATTCATAACTTTGCATTGGTCAGTTGATGAAACTGGCAAGTAGGAACTGAAACTCTCAAGATGCGGTGAAACATTACCGTATATGCAATCTGCACAAGATGCGGTTGGCAGCTGGTGGTACCATGAACTGACGACCAAGAGCATTACAAAATAAAATACCTGTTCCAATATTGCATATAATGTACCACTGAGATATTCAGATAAGTGTAAGAAGACGTAGTTGCATTATGCCACCAAAAAGGAGCAAAGAAGGTGTGCTGCTTACACCAGCTGTTAGTTGGAAGGAGTCCTCTCGGTTAAGGTTCCAGTTTCACAGTCTTTGCTTCTAGGTGATACATGTACTGTGGTTTCATTTTCTGATGGAAATGGAACCGGGGCAAGAGCCCTTTTCTTGTAAAAAAAAAAAAGAACAGCGGAGCACTCCGTCAGACAGAGGCACACTTGTTGCTTTTATTGTCCGGACCAACAACCAACTTCTGAATTCACCGGTGGCTGTAAATTGTCAGCAGAATCCAAATACTGAATCTAAGGTCAGGCAATCTATTGAGCAAGGTAAAGGGAACTTGCATAATGTAAAGAGAAAGAAACACCGCACTGAGATAAAAAACAGAAGCTTCGGTTGTTCTGTTAACGCTATGGTTCCACTGTTTACATGGAACAGTGAAGTCCAGATTGCCAACTGCAAAATTCATCTTCGTCTGTAATAGTTCTGTAGAATCCAAGAAATAAATTCAAAGCTCAGGAAAACGAACACAGCAAGGGAACCCGATGAATCTAAATGCTCAGGTCATTACTTTGAGTCGATCAATAGGTGTAGACGGGAAACGAAGCTATGAAGGATGAGCCCAATGAAACATATATCATCATATATGCAATCTTATCAAGGTGTAGTAGGGAGCTGGTGAGCAAATGATCAACCTGTTGCAATATTGTGTGTAACCTGTTATACCATTGAGATTTTCAGGAAAAGGTTAAGAAAACGGAGCAAACAAGCCAACAAGGTATGTTATGTTGCCTACACCATATAGAGTAACAGATACTGTTATTGACTAAAACGGCTGAGATAGATCAAGATAGCATACGGTAAATTGCTCTTCCATCTGAATTGTTAATCTCGTGAAACAAAAGCTTACTAGAAGCATTTACGAGAAACATGATGCCGTTGTAAGCTTCAAACGGTTATCCTACAAAAAAGGCTCCACGATGAATGATATAAAAGAAGTGGCAGACGGGCTATGCATGAGACGAATGTAAAGCAGAAGTACGTAGGCAGCAGGTTAACTACCTGAATATCTTGTTGCCGGCTTGTTAAAAGGTACTGACAGTACCCTGTTCCATCCAATATTACGCATGTTAATCTTACAAATTGCTGAATCCATAGGTGGTTGCACCTGGTGTTGCATGTTCCCTGCAGTATTCAGTAACGTATACTTAAGACAGCAGATTTTCAGTTAACGGGATTTTATTTCAACGGTAAATAAAAGTAAGAAAACAGACATTCATCTCATGTGTTGAATTTACAATGCAAAACCATAATAGGTGTGCTGCTTCAGCCAAGCAGGGCATTGGTCTTGTACTTCCTGATCTGAAAATTGTACAAACAGGGCCCAACAGATCGCATATTTTCAGCTTTCTACACGAAGAGAAAAATTATACAGGAAATCCTTGTAGGCGATTAGTGCTGCCTACATACCTTGGTTTTGTTACTTCGGTACTCAAGTGCGCATGCATCTGACTTGAATTGTTGCAGCCAGATACATAGTGATGCATGTCTACGAGGCGTACCTAGGCTGAAAGAATCACAAGTTGCATGCAGCTAGCAAGTTGAACGTAGCTGTACATGTAGGCAAGGCAAGCCTGTCAGAACTCACACAACAGTACTGTATAAAACGAGAAGAAGAACAAAAATGGTAAGAAGAGCTACCAAGCGGGAAGACTCGGCTTGTTACCTCGGGTTACAAATTTGACGTCACGTTTAAACGTGGGTTTGTTCCTTGTAATTCCTTGAATTGCTCATGCAGCTCGGGAGCGCACCTGGTTACTGTTAGCATCCCCATAGAAGTGGGGAGCCCCTCCTTGGGCAGTGATCGGATTTCAGGACAATAGCCGACATGTAGGTACCGGAGCGAAGAAAGCCTGTGTAACCGCCGAGGGAGCGATCGCAGCCTCGGGCAACGCCAGAATGTTAGGAATCGGAGGGAGGTGAGGAGCTGAAGCGCATTCTCTTCCTCTTCCGTAAAGCTCTCCACCCGCTTATCACAGCTGATATATAATGTGTGGAGGGTATTGGCGAGGAGAGTGCATACGGGAGTAACAAGCACTGATGAGATGTTATCCACGTCAAGCGTCCCCAGTCGAAAGCAGCCCGCAGAAGGCAACAATTGTTTGGTCATGCTTGCCACCACCAACTCGGAGAGCAGATCCGCGGCTACAGAGCGAGGGCGATCTCCACCGTTGCGGACCCTGAGTAGCTCGAGGTTGACAGCTGCAATGAGTGGATTAAACCCATCCACCGTCAAATTCTCGCAATTCGTTAGGTTTAGATCAGTGAGAGATGTGAGGTTGGAGAGCAGGGTAATTGACGTAAAGCTTGGATCTTCTGTAATCCAAAGTGTCCTTAGGGAGGTTAGCTTTGGGAGTTGCGCCCATGTGAATTTTGATCCAGCTTGAAATCCACCGCTATACCCCGTCAAAGACAAATCTCGTTCAGGATGATCCATGCTGCCCGAAGAACCAGCAGACACATCAATATGAGATACCGTGGAAGTCCGAGGCATGGGAGGCTGGACCAACTTAGGGCAGTCCCGAATCATTAGTGTCAATAGACTGGTATGAGAACCAGAGCCCTCCTGCATGAAGTATAACTCATGAAGATTGGGGCATTGCGTGCAACTGAGGTATTCAAGCCTTGAAAAGCAATGGGCATTAGACGACCCAACCCACTCTGTAAATTCTGGCAACTGACCAAGGACAACCTCCTTCAACTGCAAAAAACTTATATCTGTAACACCGCCAAAGCCAGGTCTGATCTGACCAAATCCAGGAATTTTTATCAACTTGAGCGATGTGAGATGCAACAACTGCCCAAGGGGTGGAAGAATTGTCCAACAGACACCCTCCAGGTGGAGAGCGGTCAGCATTAGTACACTAATGGAACCACACAACCAACTAGGACCGGTTGAACCACCGTGATTTTTAATGACGAGTGATTGAAGTTCAGGGTGTGGTTTGAAACCTTCAATAACATGTGATAATTCTGGACTATCATCATGGACTTCAGGTTCCCCCCAATTGTATTCTGTGCCCCAATGTAACTCCAACTTTTTCAAACCGCCTTTTGACACTAGTTTGGCTTTGGTAGCCTCTTCTTTGGTTGCCACATTTCTAAGATTATATATACTGAGTTCTCCTCCAAGCTCGGTTAACTCCTCCAACTCACTCAATTCAAACCCAACACTCTCTTTCTTGACATGGAATTTTGTAAGCCCTTTTAAAGACTTCATCTTTCCAACCTCGGGAATATTAGAATCGAGTTCATTTGTTACCAATAGATGGCATAAATTGATAAGGTGGCTAATGTCCTTAGGCAATTTATCACTACCATACCAACTACTTAGGTCCAAAAATTTCAAGTGATAAAATCTGGATAACATGCTAGGTAAAGTCAGCTGTGAGCTAGTGTTATATCTAGTAATTTTTAGGTATTGGAGGTGGATGAAATTTGAAAGGTTGTGTGGTAAATATTCCGGGGACTCGACTTCTATATATAAGACACGAAGACCTTTTATGTCCTTAAAAATATCTTTCAAAATATCATCAATAGTTCCAGCATGTCCTCTAAAAATCATCAAAGTCCGCAAATTTACAAAGTCTACCTTTCTCTTAAATTTTATAATTTCTTCTGTGAAGTTCCCATCATATTTGTTTTTCATGGTGATGGACAAGTGACGAATAGATTTTGGGATGGAATCAACTCTAAAACTTGCCCTGCTATATATATTGAGGCATTCTTTTAATGAAATATTTCGTGCTAGTTCATGCAATAGGTCATGCAAAACATAGTATTCACCCTCTCTATCATCATTCACCTTCACAAGAAAACCATTATCGACTAGTTCGTCCATGTAATTCTCATCTTTGTCTATGATTCCTATTGCAATCCAAAAATATGTAATCTCTATGTTCTTAAACCTATGATCTTCAGGGAACAAGGCAAAATATGGGAAGCATTTTTTCAGATGGAAAGGAAGGTAATCATAGCTAATTCTTAGAGATGGCAAAATGTCATCATCATTTTTTTCTTTTTGCCATTCATTGTTTTCAAGAACTCTCATCCAATATTCCCGAGATAGATCCTTCTTCAATATCCGACCAACTGTTTTGGCTGCCAGAGGTGAACCCTTCAACTTCCTGGCAATATCTCTTGCAATATGAGTCAAGTCATCATGGTAACCCTCAGGTTTTTGTCCACCAAATATAAATGATTCAAAGAATGTGAAGAACTCAACGGGCCCAAGGCCTTTCAATGCTATTGGGTAAGTTGTTTTAACAATATCAGCTTTAGATGGGAACCGAGTCGTGACAAGAACCATGCTACCCTTGGCTTCGCCCTTCATGAGTGGAGCTAGCAGGCTTTCCCAACCTTGGCTATTGCATTCCCATATATCATCCAAGACAATTAAAAACCTTTTAGTCTTGAGCCCCTGCGTGATGGATATTTGGAGCTGATCTAAACTTGTTGATTGATTTGCGGTTTTGTTTCTTTCTATGCCACTAAGAATCTCTTGGCTAACCTTAAGCACATCAAAATCACTTGATACACAGACCCAAACCCTAATAGGAAAGTGCTCTTGAGTCCTTTCATCATTGTATAGGTGTTGGGTGAAGGTTGTCTTTCCAATACCCCCCGGACCAACTATAGGAATAACAGAAAGGGTCTCACTAATATTTGTGATGATACCTTTTATAGTTTGCTCAAAAAGATTTCTCCTTCCAAACAATGTATCTTGTACACTGGTTGATCCTATAAGAGGTCGTTTTAGGGTGAAAATTGGAGTGTTGTTGCTACCGCGCTGAATTATCTTGAGCAATTCGGACACGGGTCCACATAAAGAGTGTATCTCCTGAATCACTGACTTGATTTTCTTGGACATGTCCACTCTATGAAATGGTAGCCTATCAATTGGACCATCACTACTAGGATTTGTTGCATCATGTGGATTATTAGTAACATCATCACCATGCATATGCGAACAAGAAAACCATGCAAAGCAGTTACCAATAGTGTGGCTAAGAGCATGGCGACCATGGCGAGCATGACCCTGAAGGTCATCACCCAAATCTGGCACCGCATCCTTTGTGCCATCAAGATCATCCTGGATGATGAAATAGTGGAGCTCATCTAGTGCGTCCTCGGCCTCATCGGCCTTGGCGCTGAGCTCCTGGATTAACCCTTGCAGAGCGTGGTTGTCTCCCACGCCACTCCTCTGGGCCTCATGCAACAGACCTTGCGTGAACATTAGATCACGCTTTATCTGCTTGGAGTTGAGGCCGAGCTCAGTGCTAGCAACATACGCCCCGACGAGCTCATTGGAAAGCAGAGTCAGTATGCTGTCGATGAGCCCGCTTGCCAGGCCAATCGCCGCTTCCATCTCCTCCGGCACTGGAGACAACAAGAAACAATTGTCTAGTTTGTGTTGTGGTGGATGTTGTGCCTAAGGCTGTGTTGGTTTATGTGTGCGTGGTTGGGAAGAGTCTCTGGTGGATCCCTTTTATAGAGCGCTGATGCTTTGATCGTTTATTCATGTGCCCTCTAAGAGAGTCGCCAGTGCTTGAACCTTGTGACATTGTTGTCATGGTGCCCGTCAAGAAAGCAACTTTGTCGAGACAATTAAACCACAAGGAGTTGATGAGGTCTTAGAATTATTGTACGAGAAGATACTGTCACTGTTCAACTGTTGTTGTATTGTGTAAGCAACGAATTATCACTTAGAGGAGAGCCACACAATCTTCATCCCCGTAGCAATCAACTTGAATCAAAGATGTTTTTCTTTCTACGCTACGTAGCTACTTTTGTTGCCAACCATCAAGCTAGTCCATATTCCACAAGCTAGTCCAGATCACTAGAAACAAGCAAGTAGCCGTCAGTGCCATGTGAATGTGGTGGTGTTGGGATTCCTCAGAAACAAAGAAGAAAAGGATGGCTGGTGCTGCTGCTTTACCCAATTGGATCCTTGTGAATGTCGAGAACTTGCCAGCATGGAGATGCTCAGCCCTTGGCGATGATCAGACCTGGAAAAGGCTCGATTGTTCGTAGCATGAGGCTCACAATTTCCGCAAAAAATTTATACAGAGAAAGATTTTCTTTATTATATATGTATACAAGACTAGAATGGATATCATGTTGTGCTTAACTACATCCCTGTTTTTGTGAATACATGACTAGGGCGTGCTAAGCCAGCAAGAACAACTTTATTCCAGCTTACAGAAGAACCGTTTACAGCTAACAAGTTTTGCAAATTTTAACGGCATCCAGACTGGTGCACCATACGGGTCGCCGGAGAATGCGACGCCGCCTCACCAGCGTCCATCGCTGCCTCCCACGCCCGCTGCCTCGCACAGCGGGCACACCGTGCCAGACGGACCGCACCGCCTCTGGTGAGGCAGCAATGGCACAATGCCGGATCCATGTGCCATTTGGGCTTACGCAACAGATTCCTGACGGAAGGAGTCTGAGTGCTGCCGTCGGGTGGCCTCCTCCCAGGATCGGTGAAACACAAGCAGCGCGGCCATATCCTCCTCAGGGCCGCCTGGGATGAGCTCAGGATCGACGGATATGGAGGTGTAGGACTCGGATTTGCTGCCAGCTATGCCGGACAAGGCCAGAGATCGTCATACGGGAGCTTGGGAGGTGGAGGGGAGTGGAGTGAACTGGCTAGGGTTTGGTCCGGCGAGCGGATGGTGAGAAGTATATGTGGGGTCGGCTGGGCCAGCGTGGGCAGGGACCAACGTGGCGAACATGCCACTGTGCCCCATATCCGCCCCAGATTTGGGCTGGATATGAGGGGTGACGGTCAGCTCGGGCGTTTGAGGCGCCTATCAGGGTTCCTTTTTTGTGACTGGGTTGTACGCCCGGGCGTTTGAGACGGGTTTGGGGCTACCGGTTGTAGATGCTCTCAGGGGGTACAAGTTTGGTATGGTGTGTACATATGTGACACGAGAGGTAGACATCACAACTTGATGCTGTCCTAGAATTATTGTAGTGCCAGAAGACTGACCAGTGACTTCACTAGCAAAGTCGAAGCTATCGCTGTTGATTTATCGGTTGTTATACATTTCACAAGCTACGAATCCTCAACTAGAGGAGAGCCACACTATCTTCATCCCTGTCACAATCGGCCTGGCTGGACCAAAGATTTTTTTGTGTGTTTGTGGTTAGGTAACCACCTTTAGTTTTGTTCGTAGCGGTGTGGAAGCTAGTTTACCATTGCTGATACAACCGACTAGTCCCCCGCCCCCCTACGCGTGTTGCCCTCCTCGGGCGACATGGGAGAACCTTAGCCGCCACCGCTAGCAACCTCCCCCACCGCCCTCCCCCGCTTCGCCGCCAGCGAAGGGCCGGTCGGCATAGCCGTGCCGGCCCCAGGAAGGTGGCGGCGGGGCGGATCTCTATATCTCACGTCCCACCTCGACCACCCCCATTCCTCGCCCCCTACCGCAGCGGCGCCACCGCCTTCCCCAGCTGGTCCGGCGGCTGCGAATCCGGTCCCTAGCGGCCCGACCCTGCATGTCTCCGGCTAGCCGTGTCTTCCCCGTCATCCTTTGCCACCGCGGATCCCCACACGACACGCACCTCCATCCCCTCGGCCCATGACCTTGGGATCCTCCCCAGCGATTCTCGGGTGCCCCCCCCTCCAGTTGCTGCTCGAGCCTACCGGTTGGCGGCGAATCCGGCGCTCCTGGCCGTTGCCACAGGCGCTACCCCCTGCAGCTTCCTCAACCCTCCACAGCCCCATGACCCAGTAGTTGCTGGTGCTTCGGACCGGTATGCCTGGGGCTTGGAGCTTGTGGTTGGTTGCAGGGCGTTTGCGGCCTGCCTCCCGTGCAGACGGCCTTCTTGTCCCTGGCAGCCCCCCCAGCCACGGTGATGGCTCTCGCGTGGAAGCAGCGATGCATATGTGGTTGTGGCTAGCACTTGGCTTCTCGCGATGGTCCTTGTCGGCACTGTTCCGACCATGCAGTCTTCAGGCCCGCATCACTTCGGTGTCCCTTGCTGTCGGCGACCCCTACCAGGCAGCTTCGGCCTTGGCGACTAGGTAGTTGGGTCCTTCCAGCTCACCTAGTTCACCGATGTCCCGACGGCTAAGGCCACGATAGCTTCGATCTGCGTCCCTCTAGTCCTAGCTTGCTGGCGTTGCTGGACGCCGTCACCCCAGTACCCCCGCGTAGTTTGCCTCGTTGCATGCCCTACTCAGTACGCCTCAAAGCTCCGCCCTTTTGCCTAATTCTATGCTCATGGGTTCGGAGGCGGTGCCACCCTCCGACGGAAGGTGCAGCGCCGCCAACCCCTTCCTAACATGGTGGTTCCGACCAGCAGTGGCCTCATCATCTACGATTCCGGATTCGACAGCTATAGGATCGCTCAGCTTCAAGACAGGGAGAGTTCCCTGCTCGGCTTGCCGGTGCTGGCAGCGACGGCACCCACGAGTGTCGTTTTCTTCTTGGAGGCGCCGCCAAGGCCTTCAGATGAGCCCCTCTTTGAGCTTAGGGGAAACCCTAGGTCCGGGTCCCTCGGACCGGATAGTGACGTTGTCCCGGCGTTGTCTTCCTCCCCGAAGGCACTATCTTGCTCGCTCGCGGTGTCCCCGGTTTTGGCGCGGATGATGTTGGAGTTCTCATTGGTTTGGCATCAACGTTTCTGGCTTGGGTTTGGTAGGTTTAGCCGTGATGTATCCTCGGGCTGAGAATCCTTGTTTCTCTACTCTGGGCACCATGTTCACGCCTTCCTACGTTCGTGTCATGTGTAGTACTCCTTTGTACTCATTCTACGTCTTTTATCAATGAAATGATACACAAGCTTTACATATTTACGAAAAAAAGTTTTGTTGGTAGCCATGAAGCTAGTCCAAATTCCACCCAAAACATTCCAAGCAAGCAGCCATCATTAGCATGTGAATGTGGAATTCCTAGGAAAAAAGGAAGAAAACGATCACTAATGCTGCAGCATTAGAGCATCTCCAGTCGCGCCCCCAATAGGCCCCCAGGCCGTTTTTTAGCGCCGGCGCACAGAAAACGGCCCAGTCGCACCCCAGGAGCCCTTTTTCACCGGTTTGGGCCGAAACTGGCGCCAGGGACCCAGGCCGAACCCGGCGCGCTGGGGGGCGCCTGGGGGCGCCGGGGAAACAGATTTTGGCGCGAACGAGAGCGGGCCCGCCAAGTCAGCGACACGCCGCTTCGTCGTCCTCATCGCCTCGGTTCCCGCAGGAATCAATACCAAGGTTGCCGCGTCGATCAGCCTCCATTGATGCCTCACGGGCGGCGCAGTGAAGATGCCGCGATGCGCGTCCCGCCCGCTCCCGCCATGCGTCGCCCGGCATGCAGATTTTCACCGCTCAGCTTCAGCTATAAAAGGCGACCTCAACATTGGTGAATGCCACAATCGCCACAACTCGCCTTCTCTCTCGCTCCGACTCGCCACAGAAACAACTCTCCCCCCTCTTCCCCCGCCGACGAGCAACGGCTGAGCCATACCCCAGCGATGCCGAACGGTTTCGACCGCTGCCATCTCCACGAGCCCGAGGCGCGCCTCCTCTACGAGGCCGACTATCCTACGCCCCGAGACATGCGGGTGCCGGGCACGTGGAAGTTGAGCGCCGGCGGCGTCTCAGTA